AAAATGAAGAAAAGACAAAAATGAAGAAGAAGAAGAAGAAGAAAAGAAAGGAATAAAAGAAGGAGAAAAAACCCGTTGATAATGGCGATTGAATTAGGTGCCGATTAATGTTCATTATATCTTAATGGCGACACTGCGTTTACGGTTCGAATTACGTGATGGCTGTTGTCATGACGACTAATGAGTATCGCTGGTAACGGTGTCTGGATTGCTCTCACTTTCAATCCTATGATTTGTTCTAGATTGCGATGATAATGCGGTCAATCCCATGAAAGTGTTCGGCAAACGTTAATGTGCCAACTTAAATGTCACACTGATTCCTCGTCACACGATGGCATTGGAAACTAATAGAGGATAATTGCGAACTGTTTGATGAAACGTAAGGTTTTGGAATCATTGATCAGTCCTCCTGAAAATCCGCGTAGCTAGGATTTTATTGGGGGGGGGGGGGGGCGAATCACTTACAGATTTTTTTTATATTTTTTATAAAGGACATCTTCAGAAATGAGCATCATGCATGGCTATTGTGATAGATATATTGACGTTTAAATCAACCAATCACCGAACAACAATCAGCATTTCATCATAAGATTTCCATAATTGCTTGCGGGAACTATACAATTAAAAGCTCATTTCCCAATTCCATTCTTAAATGAAGGATAACATATGAAGCATATCTGTGTTTTTTTTAATAATTTTTTTTAACACAGCCTTTGTCATGTTTCTTCGTCTGCTCCTTTTTCTTCCTACAAGGCGCGTAGCCAGGGGGGGGGGGCGGTGGGGGCGGTCGCCCCCCCCCCCCCAAAAAAAAACGCCGGCCAAAAAAAAAAAGAGAGAGAAAGAGAAGAAAAAAAGAAAGAGGACGTAGGAAGAAAAAGGGAAAAGGAGTCGAGAACGGTACAATGAATCGTCAAAGCTTCCGCGCTTCGCGCGGGAAGGGGGAAACTGAGTTCAAATTAAGAAATATGAGTCGGGAAAGGTACAACGAATCGTCTTCTTTCTCTAATAATTTAATGAAACGTCAAATTAAGCTTCGCGCGAGAGGGGGGGGGACTGAATTTAGACAAGGATTATGAGTCGAGAAAGGTACAACGAATCGTCTTCTTTCAAAGCTTCCGCGCTTCGCGCGGGAGAGGGGGAAACTCCCCCCTCCCTGCACCCACCCCCCTAGGGAGCGCGCTTCGCGCGCTTTTTAAGTGATTCGCACGCTTTGCGTGCTCACTACCGCCCCCCCTAAAATGAAATCCTGGCTACGCGCTTGCTTCCTACGTCCTCTTACTTTTTCTATTCTCTCTCTCTCCCTCTTTTTTGGCCGGCGTTTTTTTTTGTTTTTTTTTTTTACGGGGGGGGGGGGGGCGACTGCCCCATCGCCCCTAGCAAAATGAAGAAGGGACTGCACACAGAAAGTGGTATATAGGCTTATAATCAAATTGGTTTATTGAAAACAACGTGATATGCAACTCAAGGCTGATATTGTCCTTTTGACAAAATAAACAAATATTGATTACAATTTTTTAAATCAAAATTAAAAAGTGATATAATTATGATAGCAACATACACCAATTGTTCTCATAAGATTTAGACATTTATTAATCATGTCAATGATTAAAGCCCCTCTAAAGGGTTGGGAGCCTAAACAAAATTGATGGAAAACTTTCGCTTTACCTAAGCCAAGAACTAATTATTGTAAAAGAACTTTTGTTTACAGAGCTTCTTTTCAATATAATAAATTATCCCCTGATTTGCGTCAACTACCCACTTTTGCCACCTTTAAGACTAACCTAAACAGACTATAATCACCTTGTTGTTGTACCTCTTTATGTATGTTTATATGATGTTTGTTTTGTTTGTTTGTTTGTTTGTTTTGTTTTGTTTTGTTTTGTTTTTTTTCTTTTCTTCTTTTCCTTTAAGTATTTGTATTATGTTTTCGACTGATACTTTGTAATTATTTACTTTGTTAATTTGTAATACTATGTATATTTTGCATATTGTAAACTGGCCCCACGGAAGACCAGCAGCAACAATTATAGTTGCAGCTGAATATGGGCTACCAGCCGTATACGGTCCCTTTTCTCTGTATGATTATTTTATATGTATTTGTATCTGATTTTATTATACGGAAATAAAAACAACAATAACAACAACCTAAATTGTATCATAATGTGAAAGAGGATGTTATTTAAGACACATTTCTGAATTGATTTTCAAAACAAATGTGTTTGAAGTCGAATATTGATGAAAGAATACAACTTTTTTTTCTTCTGCGTACAACAAAAAACCAAATTATGTTTTATTTTATCAATATTCAAACACATTTAGGGGGATCTTTGCAGAAATGTGTCTTAAATGGCATCCTCTTTGACATTATGATACAATATAAATGAAATTTTGCAAAAAAAAATTGGGCGAATTTGGGGCTCCTAACACTTTAGAGGGGCTTTTTAAGTGGATTAGGTAACTAATCGAGTAACTAATAAAGTGCTATACACAAGTCATGTAGCATCCATGCAGATTTTGTTGAAAGTCTAACCTTAATTTGATCATACCTAATATATAAAGGCATTTTCAGATAAATCATTTTGATGTGAAATTGTTGTCGTTATGTTCGTCCTTATATCTTCAGTGGAAAAAAAAAAAGAAAACGAAGAATGAAAAAGTTGACAAAGTGCTTTCAAAATTATTTTTAACCAGAACTCAACATTTTTATAACGGAACTATAATGCATTCCGAAAACCATTTCATATTTTAAAGTTCATCATTTATCTGAATGTACACATCTGTGTGTGTACAGACATACGGTTTTGCGTTCTATCCGAGGAACTGTCAAATGCCTCAAGACCAGTTCATAATCTTACGACCCAGCTACGACTCGAGCTTTGAATAAATTGCAATAGCAGTAGATATGAGATTAAGGAGTATATTCTTTCTAACTGAGGTCCCGAATATAGATTGTACGAAAATATAAAAATGTGTCGGCTGTTGTAAACCCGCACCCAATTCGAAAAATCTGCCGTCACTGCTGTAAACCGAAATGGTGGTGTAGCCGAGAAGGGGAAGGGGGGGGGGGGGTGCGTAGAACAATGCACGACATTTGAGTGAAATAAGATGTGAAAAAACGTCATGAACGAAGAAGTGAATCGTTAATCTATTTGCAATGGCAGTCTCTGGCAAATATCTCAGCTGTATTTGCAAGACGTCTTGAAAAGACGAAACTGATTCTTCTCCCTCTGTGCTGGGATGTTTGACACTGGTCATTTGAAGGATACGTAACAATGGATTGGTTTTACCACGGTCCAAAAGGGAGCATATTTGTTATCCTCTTGAGTTAAATACTAGTTAAAATACGATTAAAAACGGGGCAAATGCAAGATTCGTTTCTTTCTTTCCTTTCATTTTCCTTCCAAACTTTAAATTTTAGACTATAATAGTACTACCTTGAACTCTTAAGTGAGTTCGTAACCAAATAGTTGACACAATGGTTGATCCGACATTTTGCAGCGGGCTTTATTATTTTCATCAAAGATGGAGGGTAAACTTGGGCTGTGACGGAACACAAGTTTAGGGTCATGATTTGGTAGGCATTTAGCTTTTAGTCCTTGTTATGATGTTGGAAATTATGATATGCCAAGAAGCAATAATTATTGTCCCTTTAGCATACTGTCTTATATACGATTATCATACAATCGACAAACGTACTAGTGAAATGATCAAGGAATGCAAGTCATGCTCAGTTGCCGAAGTTGTTTTTCAGCCTGAGGCCCAAAATGAAAGCACCCCGTCTAAATGGAACAAATAATTGATCCCTTTAATTGTTTAGTGGGTGAAGGCATCACTGGAGAAACCATGGCTTCTAAACAAATCATACAGATTCAAGTTGTGACGTCATTCCCCGGTACACAATTTTAAGAACCCAGGGATATGTCAACAATTTAGCGACAGAAAGGCGTGAGCGATCGATTTCGGTGAAAGAAACGAAATCCGTTGTCTGGCTTGTAACATATGTACCTAAAATCTTAACAATAGAGATGGGGAGGGGAGTCATTTAAAGGAGAAAGTGGCACTAGCAACACAATTGTACTTTCAAACGTTTACAAGTGTATGCCTATTTACACTAGCAGCTTGCGTCAGTGTTTGCATTACGCAACCATGCACTTGTGATACAAGCGCTGTATACTTTTTTAAGAGCCAACAACGAATTGCAAGTTATTCTTTCTAATTCTTCGTATGTTACTAGCAGGTGACAACTATGCAAAACCCAAAAGTGTAATGATAAGTTGATTGAGAGAGGTTCGGAAAATAATTATACCGTTACATTTCATGACATTAGACTCTTTTGCAAGTGGGTTCATGCTTCATGCAAACCTTAGCGTGATCATGGCTTTTAACGCAAAAGAGTATCTGATGTGTTGTGTGTGTGTGTGTGTCAAAATAATCTCCAGATTTGTAAATTTTTAAAGTTTTTAAAGAGTGAATAACATGTACAATTGACTTATGAATTATTTTTATGTAATTTTAGATTACTTTGTTGCTCAGTTATATATATATACTGCAAACGAGTTTTTGTTTAATTATGTTTATGAATATGTAGCCTATAAACAATTAATATTGAAATCGTTTATTTATTTTATTCAATTGTATGTTGTTCTTTTTTGTATTACAATTGAAGGAACAAAACAAAATTACCAACAAATATTTTAAAAGTGTGTATGTGTGTGTGTGCGCGCGCGTCATGTCATATCATCTCTTCAGTATTATTCTCCTGTTATTTTATGTATGATCTGTAACAATATATAGGTTTAATTGAATTGAATTGTATTTTGTAGTGACCATTGATATATATCATGATGGAACTGACACCGTTGAGCGGCGTCGAGTTTCAAAGATGAACAAAAAAGTTTTACGCCGGTGTGCACCTTGAAGTCTTTTACTTTGTTAAAGGAATTAGACCTTTTGAAGAGACCCAAATCAATTCGTCGATAGTTATCAAAGGGTCTGTCGCATTCCCTGCCTATTATCTCTCATAGCGGTGTCCGAGTTCGTAACTTTTATTCCTATTTTTCAAGGGATGACTTTCTTTTGTGCAAATAGAATGTTTCAAGGTCGCCATTTAATCGGAATTCAAACAAACCATGAGTAGCGTTTCATGCTTTCTTAAAGAGGTGGAAGAGATTGATATTTTTGCCTACGGTGAGCAATCGAGCAGACCTATACGGTACGCGGGGTAGTACAGACTGGTGACTGGCCTACAAAGGTAGAAATTCGGTAAGATAAATTTATACTTTTCGATTTCTTTGGTTGCCATTGCGATTGTAGTAAACTCGGTTATAATGCTGAATATATTAACTTTGCTTGTGTTGATGGGTATATATTCCATACTAGGTAAAACAATGCTACAACATTACTTTGCTACTTTACATAATTGACTAGAAAAGTACTATAGAAAAATGTATTGATGTATTTTTTTGCATTACTACAAATAAGATAAAAGTTTACATTCACATTATGATAAACTAATGAATAGATGGACAGATAAATAAATAGAAAGATAGATAAATAGATAGATAGTTACTAAATAGATAGATATATACTGAATAGATAGTTAGATAAATACTTATAGATAGATAAATATATATATATATATAATAGATAGATAGATAGATAGATGAATAAATAGATAGATAGATAGATAATGAGATAGATAGATATATATAATACGATGGCCCACTGATTTTGAAAAAAATTAACCTAAGGCAATTTTGATAAGATGACGTATAACATAATCCGAACATTATTTTAATGAACATACAATACTACATATTTATGTAAATCAATATATATATATATAAGTTATAATTAAATATCGCTTTCAGAGTATAATAGATCGAATGTCATTTACAACAGACCTACCGTACAATTGTGTTCCTCATTGAAGGCATTTATAGTTATTGCATATGTTAAACTGCATTAAAATTATATTCTTTCTGGTTCTACAAAAAAGGGTTTAGAAACGTTTAATTATATCGGAAAACCTCATGGTCACATCCACCAGATTTACCAATATCATCTCTTTGTTTCCACCGGTAATTACAGGCGGTTGTCCATTAGCAGGTCCAGCTTTAATTATTGGTATAGGACCGATTGTAAATATGAGCGCAACAAGTACGCATTCAAAATTGCTCTTTCCCCGGAGGTCGTCCTATATAGGGATATTCATCAGTGGTAATACAGCCATGCAAAATTAAAAATGCGACTAAATGCCGCTTGGTTAATTAGCCTATTATCATGCCATAGCAACAATCATCACGGAAGGAGGGTTTTGATTGTGACGTTGGTGTTGATTGTTTTAGAGGAGGTTCTGTTCTTTCACGTTTCTGGCTTGTTACATCACACATTTCAAGTAACGGCCTCAAATCTCTGCAGAGAGTTAGACCCATACCTTAACATTTCTGTTCTGGAATCGAGGAGCTATACATGTGACTTAGCTGTCGTAGGACTACTCTTTTGGCGAGGAGAATATACTGGTATACATCAAAGAAAATCATTTTCGAAACGGATTTGTGTGCTTCACACCCGGACCTTGGTGACAGATTTATTTAATTCGACGTCTTTACTTTAAAACAGGTTTTCCTGAGGAGTACGACGCGAAACCATGCCGACGCAACAAGTGAAAGTAAAACCAGCCGGTAATGACGCCTCAGGAAAGCCGCCATTGGCGACGCGGAACAGCAAGGTATTCACCGTCTCGCAACCGCCGCGAAAAGAATCCTTCATCGGCAACGACATCGAAAAAGGGAAGGATAAGGTGGTCGAACTGGTCAATGGGAAGCTGAATAGGAATCCGAAGGTGAACGGCGCGGTCAACGCGAAGGACAATGACGATGTGTCGTCGTCATCGCCGAGGCCTTTTAATCGTTTCATGTACCGTGATCGCATGTCATGGATCGCAGTTCTCTACACGTCGATCCCGGAGGCGATCGGGCTGTCCGGCATCAAATACGCCATCAATGTCGGCGAGAACAAACTCAGGAGGTAAAGGTCATTTTCCAAGTTCTTTCAGCATTGATTTTTTGTTTACAGTCATTTTGCATATTTTCCGGCCCCCTTCCAAAAGCCTGTTAAAAATTCAACATTTCACTCTCGAGACGAGCTTTGATGATAATTATGTAGGGAATACGGATAAAGGTTTTGAGAAAAGAGTGAAAATGATTATTCATTTGCCTTGGAATGTAAAAACAACATGCATGGTAGTTTGGATAAAAAAATTACTCAACGTTCGATACAGAAAAAAAATGCATATTTAATGTTGCTATCAATAAGAAAACTACCCTTTTGTTGTTGTTTTGTTCTACCGTGGTCAACATTTTCTTAGCTTTATCTCCCATATTTCATTTCGTATGGAATTATGTTTTGCATGGTACTAGTCACTGGTATACAGTAACATGCCAACAATCTACTGGGGAAAATGGGAACCTGTGAAAACTTCAAAAATTAATTGTGGTCTATCTTAATTTTCTCTATAATATACAGAAATAAATAATTGGGTTTTATTACCTAGGGTCTAGAGAAACCACATCATAATTAGCACTGCTCTTCCTACCTGCCCCACAATTATTATCATTCCGGTAATTATCAAGTTTATCTATTCACACGTGGTAAGAGAGTGTCAAAGTACATTAGTGCCGGGCTGGGATTCGAACCCTCAACCCTTCGATTGAGAGTCAAGTGACTTAACCACTATACAACGACGCCTCCACATAATGGTGATGCCACTAATATTTCCCATATGACATTCTTTTAATGGTAGGCCTACTAGTCGCTGTTATATTATAACGTGACACGGTCTGCTAGTGAAAATGGGCAACCTTAATTGTACGCTTTACCATATATCTCTATTTTATACAGCAATTAATAGATTATAATAATTGGGTCTTATTTGCCCCGGGGCAGCCCGATCAGTATTAATACTGCTCTATACCTGTGGGTCCTGTAATTATTATCATTCAGGTAATTGCTAAAGTTCCTATTCGCGCGTGGATGACGAGCGGCAAATGTGGGTTAATGTCTTGCCAAATGACAATAGTGCTAGGCTGGGAATCGAACCCTCACCCCTTGGATTAAGAGTATTATCATTATTATTTATATATTTATTTATTTATTTCTGAAATTCATTCAGGGTGGCACATAATTATCACCAATTTGGTGGTCTTTCATGAGGCCCTGTTTGGTAAGAATAAAACAAATAACAGCAGCAAAAACAAAATAGATAAATACACAAGCATATCAACAGATAAAATCATCGTTATTATTATTATCATTATTATTATTATCATCATTATCTAAACAAGATGTGAACATATTTCTCGCCCTTTTCCAGATTGTTCTGGATCCTGTTGATCCTGGCTGGCTTTGGTTTGACGTGTTTTCAGATCGTCGACAGAATTGCATTTTATCTTAAATATCCAACGAATATCAACATCGCTATCAACTACACCGATGAGCTTCCATTGCCAGCTATAGCCATATGCAATGTCAACCCCTACAGGTATGTGACATAAAATCTAGTCCTCTTCGTATCATCATCATTGATTTCTCTCTCTTTCTCTCTCTCTCTCTCTCTCTCTCTCTCTCTCTCTCTCTCTCCCTCTATATCTATTTCTCCTTACCTCTCCTGTCCTCTCCTTTTCTATTCTGTTTCTATCTCTATCTCCCTTTCCCTCTTTCTGTCTCTCTTTCTCTCTCTCTCTCTCTCTCTCCCTCTGTTACTCTCTCCCTCTCTCTCTTACTCAATTCAGTTGAACTCAATTCAATTCAATTTTATTTCTGTTTTCCAAAAAACATAACTAATCAATTATGATCATTTACAACAAATTTAAGGAATACATATTGGAATCAGAGGGGTCCACTAAAAAGCAATGCTTGTACAATTATTATGGACCCCTCTCTCCCTCTCTACTTCCCTTCTTCATCTCTCTCCTTCTTTCTCTTATTCGAGCAAGTGATATCATTGATATCTGGCATCTTAGAAGTCTGTGCAAACATTTTTCAATAATTCAGATTTTCTTTTTAAAGGAAAAATTGATATTAGGTCAAAAGGTGCCACGGAAATTGCACATGTACGCTAAATTAATATTCGATTTGTATCTCGTAAACTTTCCAACCAGATAGCACTGAGACAAAAACCTATAGTCTCGTGAAACTCTTGACGCCATCATTACTGAAGTATCCCTTCTTTGAAGTGACTCGGTAGTCGGTAACATTGTTGAAAGTTGATCACTAAATTGCATAATTTTTGTGCGAAATGTGACTTGTTATATTCCTTCTACTGTACTAACCCTCTAACATGCAAAAAAATCCTGAAAAAAATTCTCAAACCACAAAGATATCTATGGATTTCTTTGCAGGTGTCTCTGTGGTAACCCGACACATGCTCCGCCGACGATTGCTCCGCCGACATTTACTCCGCAAAACGCGACAATTGCTCCGCGACATTTGCTCCGCGACATTTGCTCCGACGTCAAATGCTCCGCCGACAGTTGCTCCGCCGACAGTTGTTCCGCCGACAGTTGCTCCGCCGACAATTGCTCCGCCGACAGATGCTCCGCCGACAATTGCTCCGCCGACAATTGCTCCGCCGACAATTGCTCCGCCGTCAATTGCTCCGCAAAACGCGACAATTGCTCCGCCGACATTTGCTCCGCCGACATTTGCTCCGCCTGAAGCGACACTTGCTCCGCCGACATTTGCTCCGCCGACAATTGCTCCGCCGACAATTGCTCCGCCTGAAGCGACAATTGCTCCGCCGACATTTGCTCCGCCGACAATTGCTCCGCCGACAATTGCTCCGCCTGAAGCGACAATTGCTCCGCCGACATTTGCTCCGCCGACATTTGCTCCACCGACATTTGCTCCGCCGACAATTGCTCCGCCGACAATTGCTCCGCCTGAAGCGACAATTGCTCCGCCGACATTTGCTCCGACGACATTTGCTCCGCCCAAAAAGTGTCCCATAAACTACAAATGCTACTAGTACTACGACAAATGCTTCGCCGACAATATTTTCTTTACACCTATTTTTTTCGTTTCTTTTTTTCTTCTTCATTTTCTGAATGCATTTCTTGAAATAATGTAGATGAAATGAAATGAATGAATGTTGATGAAGTGGGAGGAAAAAGGAGTTACCTAAAAGTCATTTCGAATATACTGAAATAACTTTCCATCTATCACTGTACGTCCCATATAATGTATACTAAACACTCATTACATGTCGTGGGAAGTTTTTAAAAAAAAGTAGAGCAGCAAGCCACATTCCCCAATACGCGCATACCTCCTAGTTAATTTCAAGTAGCTCATCAATATGTAATACCTGAAATTACCTCGATCAATGCATCTTACTAGGTAAAGCATTATACAATGTAATAGGTCATCATGGAAGTTTAGAAAATAAGTAAGGGGGATTTACCAAGTGTTGATCTTTTTAAGAGTTTTATAAAGAAACAAAAAGATATTGAATATTTCTCAGCGAAAAAAAAGAACAAGCTTGTTTCGCATTTTAAGAAATGGCGATTTGACTTATGATACTCATGTTGATTTAACTTTTATTCCTGTGCCCCCTCACTCCCCTTTATGCACTGGAGTTCAAACTATGATTTATATGTGTACAGTGTATTTTTTTTTTTACTATAATGTTTTTTTTTTATAACTTTCTTGTCCTTTCATTATTGTTAGTTGTTCTTATACATATTGTTTTTTTTGTTTGTCTAATTATTACCAATGACTTGTAAATATGTAATTTTTATATGATTGAAAATTTAATAAACACACAAATATAAAAAAAAAAGTTTAGAAAATAAGGGCACTTATATACGTAAGGAAGAGAACCCATTCAGACGGGAAAATGAGATGGCAGCCTTTCTGCTTATTCACATTTATACAAATCATTTTGTTGCAGTTTGATGTTAGTTCTTCATGATAAGCCAATTGCTCTTCTTCCGGTGGCTTCGTGAGTCCCTTAAATTATTTAGTGAAAACAAAGTACTCGAATGAAACGGAGTGTTTTGCACACTAACATATATATATTAAAGCTACATACACTTAAAGGTAAAGACCAGTATTGGCAACGCCCCAATTTCAAAAAATGAAATGGAAGCTCTCATTACCAATCATGTGAAAGAATATGTTTTGACTAATACATGATGATAAAAAATTTGCCGGGAAACCGCCTACTAATTCATATATTTGGTAAATTTATTTCTCTCATGGTCTGGTGAGAGAGATAGGGTAGTCCCATATACATTTTTCTGTGTATAGTGCTTGTAACTTTACGAAGAATGAGCCAAATTTCTTATCATTTTGATGATTCCAGAACCTTGCAGATGCTAGATGCTAGATGATCGACCTTTTCTGATCGATTCCACAACGTTTCTTTCACAATGCAATCGCATGACCATACTGGTCTTTACCTTTAACTAAAGGAAAGAAACCTTTAGAAAATGGACTGGATATTATTGAAAATATTATTCTAAACAAGAATGTACTACATGATTGTATTACTTTACGTTTCAATTTCACGAGAGAAATAGAACTCGAGAGGGGGAGCAGAGAAGAAGTGATGGAAATGAAAGAAGACTAATAGCATGAGAGGAAAGAAAAGAGCAAAGAAGACAAGAAAACGGTGTAAACAGGAAAAGGAGGAGCATTGGAGAGAGAGAAAGAGAGAGAGAGAGAGAGAGAGAGAGAGAGATAGCCTTGAGCTTTGGATCAGCTAATGAGTAATACATGAAACAGATTTTGAGCGGAGTAATTATCTTTCGCCGGAGAACTTGCGTAAGGAGCTATAATTTTATTTTTTATTTTTTTAAATCAAACATTATGGGGAATAGCAAAAAACGGTTGTCTTTTTTGCTCTTTTCTTTCCTCTCATGTTATTAGTCTTCTTTCATTGAGGTAATTTCAGGTCTTACATATTGATGAGCTGTTTGAAATTAACTAGGAGGTAGGCGCGTATTGGGGAATGTGGCTTGCTGCTCTACTTTAAAAAAAAAAAACTTCCCATGACATGTAATGAGTGCTTAGTGTACATTATGTGGGACGTACAGTGATAGATGGAAAGTTATTTCAGTATATTCGAAATGACTTTTAGGCAACTGCTTTTTCCTCCCACATTTTCAACATTCATTCATTTCATTTCATTTACATAATGTCATGAAATGCATTCAAAAAATGAAGAAAAAAAGAAAGAAACAAAAACAACCCGTGAAAAAAAAATATTGTCGGCGAAGCATTTGTCGTAGTACTAGTAGCATTTGTATTTAATGGGACACTTTTTGGGCGGAGCAAATGTCGTCGGAGCAAATGTCACCGGAGCAAGTGTCGCTTCATGCGGAGCAATTGTCGGCGGAGCAAATGTCACCGGAGCAATTGTCGCTTCAGGCGGAGCAATTGTCGGCGGAGCAATTGTCGGCGGAGCAATTGTCGGCGGAGCAAATGTCGTCGGAGCAATTGTCGGCGGAGCATATGTCACCGGAGCAATTGTCGCTTCAGGCGGAGCAATTGTCGGCGGAGCAATTGACGGCGGAGCAAATGTCGGCGGAGCAAGTGTCGCTTCAGGCGGAGCAAATGTCGGCGGAGCAAATGTCGGCGGAGCAATTGTCGCGTTTTGCGGAGCAATTGACGGCGGAGCAATTGTCGGCGGAGCAATTGTCGGAGGAGCAATTGTCGGCGGAGCATCTGTCGGCGGAGCAATTGTCGGCGGAGCAACTGTCGGCGGAGCAACTGTCGGCGGAGCACCTGTCGGCGGAGCATTTGACGTCGGAGCAAATGTCGCGGAGCAAATGTCGCGGAGCAATTGTCGCGTTTTGCGGAGTAAATGTCGGCGGAGCAATCGTCGGCGGAGCATGTGTCATGGAACCGTCTCTGTGCAACACTTTCTAACTTGGATTAACAGTAAATTCTCTCAACCATTTTTGAATTTTTCCCAACCCGTCGTTTTCCATGAAAAAAGACATAAAACAGGCTATACAAAAATCTTTCAACACTTAAATGTCTGGAATGGTATATAGAGCCAATTCATTGCTATGTGACGGTTTACATTCACCTAAAATGTAATCAAATTGTAATAATATAGTTGGGAGAATTAAGGAATCGATCAGATAAGTTTTTCCTAATTTATATCACTAATAATGGTCCGTTTTCACTCAAACTTTCAGATTATCTTTAATTGTACATCTAGCATTGGAGTTACTACCTTAGCACCACTTTCTCTCATCTGAACAATGTTACAAAGTCCCTTTAATATTATTCTCTCTTTTGGTATGATTAGGAAGCAGCTAGTAGAAGGTACTCCGTTCGGGAACATGGTCGCTCAATTTGCATGGGATCCGTTTTCATTCGACATCACTTCGTACGAAGCAGCTCTGAATGGAACCAACATGACTCAGCTTTTACTCGACCTCAAGCATCCGTTAAATGAAACAGTATTGCAGTGAGTATAGGAACGGTTACATGATCATATTTACAAGGGTTCCGAAAGTCCATTATTTCGATGGTCCGATTTCTCAAGACACTTATCTACATTTCCCCCTCTCCTCCCAGGTGTTATAAATGGGTACCTGGTAGGAATCAATTCCTTGAATGCGGTCAGCTCCTGTTGTATAAGGGTACCTGTATAGTAGTTGAAGTTGTAAGGTTTTCTTAAAGAAAAAGAAAAGTTAACTAAGACGATTGGTTGGAGAAACAGGTTCCCTTAGTTTATTCAGTTCATTTTAACCGTGAACTATCATTTTGCGCCAATACTTTTTTTCATAAATCATAGGATGACAAAATTGTGTAAGGCTCGACAGTTTTGACGATAAGATTTACGTATTGACTCATTTCTTTATCAGTGAAGCAGAGTTTATCAGGTTTATAGTGTTTTTTAAAAGGCCGGCATCTTCGCTAATTCGTGATTTATTCCATTTCAACATGAAAGGTGTGTTTGACTGTTTTTTTAATCGACACGAAACAAAATGTCTTCCTTCTCGTTCTACTCCTCTTACAGAGTAAAACTTGGGCTCGAGTACGTGTCTGTTTCGAACTTTGCAACGAGATTCACCGATTATGGAATATGTTACACGTTTAATTCAGGAGAAGACGGTCAGCCGCCAATTTATATTAAAGCCTCGGGTATGTGTTTTCATTTAAAAGCTTTACAAAATGGCAACTGCCCGTATCCTAATATACGTTACGTTCTCGTCAGTGTCACGCATACTTTGTGTTCTTGTTATTGATTGATATTTTAATATAAGAATGAATTCAATTACAATTTAATTTGTTATTATTCCTCCATTGAGCGCCCGTCTTAAACGGTGAGATAATATAACCTTATAACTGGTCTCCAAACTGTTCCAGGTCCTTCGTTTGGCCTATCAATCATCATGCACACTAAACAGGAATGGTATTTCTTTGAGGAAAGAAATCGCTACTCAGCTGGCTTCCACGTCATCCTATACGACCGCGGTACCGAACCCGTGGAGGACCTCGGGTTTTCAATCAAACCGGGTACAGCGACACAGGTGGCACTTAACATGAGAGAGGTAAGCTAGAGATCGTGGTGGCGATGCATGGTGGCGGGTGCTGATGATGATGATGATGATGATGGTGTTGAAGAAGATGATAATAATGATGAGGTAAGCAAGAGATGGTGATGGTGTTGGTGGTAGTGGTGGTAATGATGATGATGATGATAATAATTAATAATGAAAGTAATGGTGGTATTGACAGACAGGTAAACTGATAAAACAAAAGAAAGAGAATGTTCAATGAAACAGAGTGGGAGATTGGAGGAGATTGAGAGGGAAAGAGAAAATGGGGGAACGGTAGGTCTCCACCTTGTTTATGTTTTGTTAAATCTTTCTTTCTCCGTCTTCCTTTCCCTCTCTACTCCCCCTTTTGTCTTTCCCCCTCTTGCTCCCTTTTCCCTCTTCCTCTCCCCTTTCCCTCTCCTTTTCTTTCTCTCCCTCCCTCTCTCCTTTCCCCCCCCCCTCTCTCTCTCTCCCCCTCCCTCTTCGTCTCTCAGGTCAATAACATACACCCACCTCACGGTGAATGTGAGGATAAGGAGCTGGTCAACTATCCCTACTACGCCCTACCAGAGTGCTACAACGAGTGTATGTCAAACTACATCTCCACCAGGTGTGGGTGTAAACCTCCAGCCTTACTAGGTACAATAGATGCAGCGATTCTAGAAGGGGCTGGGGATCATATGAAAAAATGAAAAAATGAAAAAATGAAAAGAAAAAAAAAAGAATTAAAAAAAATATATATATAAAAATAATTTTAAAAAACATGTACATTTTTTAAAACAAATTAGAATTAAAAAAAAATATTATAATAATAAAAAATAGCGAGGCACATGTAGAAAGTAAATTTAGAAAAAACCGAGCCCACCCGAAGAACACTCCCCTACCCCCCCCCCCCCCCCCAAGAAATCACGTATTCTTATTGATCCGCTCCTGGTATGATGGATATATGTCATTTATGAATAATTACCAAACAAATGCATATTGTTTATGAACTTATTGTACGAATTTACACACATGACCCCTCCCTGACAATAACACTTGAACTTTGTCTAATATACACAAGTCTCTGTACAAATAATTTTGCAATATCTAGTTGGTGTAGAAGTTGCTATGCTTCGAACAGTCACAGGTTGTTGCTTTTTTTTAGTTACGATTTTTTTATATTTTTTATAGCTGTTCAATTCACATTTATTCGGCAAAAGATAAAAATCAAAATGAAGTCATTTCAAATGAAATCATTATAAATACCGGGATTGCTAAAATAAGTTAAAATTTGTAAACAAGCAACCCCAAACATAAAAACGTACAGATACAAGTACAATACGATGAAATACGATACAATACAAACAATAATAATAATGTTACATACTAACAAAATATATGAATCAATCATGTATTTCAATACATCAATAAGTTATTGAACTAGTATATGTTAATGTGCATATTCTTAAGCTTGTTGCATACTTTTTCCTTCTTTTTTTTTTACTGCAAATATGACTGTGGTAGACTTCAGACTTTTGCATATTTAAAATAATAAAACCATTTATAAATTTAATTTTGATTTTGTAACAGGAGGCGCTCCGGACTGTGATCCTATTCAATATTTTGGATGTGGAGCTTTGGCGTATGGTATGTTACTGAAAATCCCAAAATGCCATGAATTCATATTGATAGTATATTCTGATTCATATTAAAATTGATATTTTGAATAATAAAAGCCATTATTAACATTCAAATAAAATTCATAATGACATTGACAATATCATATTCAGATTAAAAGTATATTAAGATCATTTGTGAGTGCTAGGTTGAAAGGGTTATGTGAAGCAGGGATGTATCGTGGTTTAATTAGTGGTTTATTCACTCTACTCTCAATCGTAAGGTTGATGGTTCGAATCCCAACCCGGCACTTACATCCTAAGCGACAAAAGTATAGTCGTGGTCGAGTGGATATCACATGACTGTGGATCGCATGTTCCACGGTTCGAGTGCCACTGCAGCACTCTCTCTCTCTCTCAATTTGGCAAGACATTAATCTACATTTGCCACTCTCGACACAGGCGATATAAATGGAATCCTGGCAGGAATAAATTCCTTAAAATGCTAGAGCGCCATAATGGCAGCCATTCTAAAGCTGGGGCAGTAATGTAGAGTGCCAGGCCTAGGAGTGTCAAGTCTGACAGACAAGTCATGAGCGCTATACAAGAACACGCTATTACTATTGTTAACATTATTATTTATTAATTTTCTTTTATTTCCGTCCAACAGGTCAATTTTTAGAGCAGCGAAGCAGTGCCTGTGATTGCCCCACGCCTTGTTTCCAACGTAAATATGATCGCGAGATGTCCTACAGTAGTTTCCCGTCTAACTACTGGGCAGATCTTCTTGCTAACGCCTACTTCAAAGACCAAAACGTAACAGCCGGATATTTCACGTGAGTCCTCCTTTTTTAACGACTTGTTCCGAATTCACCCAAAGTCTATTCACGTTTTAAAACAACAATTTTGCGAATATTTTGTGACCTGACCCTTAATGCCATATTTTACATTTTCTACTTTCAACTGATAAAATTGAATATTCGATCTCTGAGAAGATTCGAAATACTGCTTTTTATAATCCAATTGCTCCTTTGAAAAAGAAAAAAAAAACTTGCTTAGTAATGTATTGAACTCTTTATCTTGTAATTTTGTATGGCATGACATGTATGTGCTTTTGATTTCGTCCAAATATGTCCACTGCGCATAATCTGATTTTAAGGCTAGTTGCGCAATATTACAAAATTATAATGTCAAATGCCATGATTATGAAATCGCCCTGAATGAGGTTACGAATACATGACAATTTAAATCAAAATTGTATTGAACTAACTTTTACCATTACGGTTGAAAAAAGGTGCCCAAATAAGCCATAAATAGAGGCTAATAGGGGCACACAAGATTATTATTGCAATCAGTTTGATCGCCCGACGTGAAAACGAGTTGAATTCTCAGAGATTAAAATGTGCGATGCCATGTCATAATATCATTTGGATTTGCTACTTTTCGCCACAATATGTCGTAGTCAGAATGTACATTGCCAAAGTCTGGAGAATAATGTTATAGAGTATATTTGTTTTAGTCATTACCAGACGAAAATCAATTCTATGAACGTTAACAAAGTGGATTTTATTTTTGTTTCTGTTTTCTCTTTACCCTGCAGTCAAAATCTTGCTTATATCAACGTGTTCTTCAAAGATTTGACGATCGAAAAGGTTGATCAAATCAAAGCTTACGAGTTTTTTAGTCTTATGTGTGAGTATGAAATAGATTGATAACATTATATTTAATTGATCAAAAGCGGCTTAGCTATGGGGGTGGGGGCAGATCCCCCAATCGAATGGCGAAAATGTAAATAAGAGAAGAGGACACGAAAGGGGAGCACGAACAAATGGGGGGGGGGGGGTCAGCAAAGTCATAAGAAGGTGATACGACACTTTACTACACCCCCTCTCGATCGTCTTGTTCCCTCGCGTTCTATTTTTTTTTTGTCGTGGAAGAGGGGGCACTCCCTCCCCTTTTACAATAGTGCCCCGTCAATGGCAGGACCCACGTTATACGTTACTGTGCATCTCAGCTACATATCAACACCGTGCAATTAAAATCGTAATAACACAAAAATGGAGCATATTAGCATTTTCTAATCTGTAGCAATGTTTCTATATAAATTACTCTGTACGATCAGTATTATAACACAAAGATATAGGATCTATAAAAAAAAAATCGTAAATGCATGAGCGATGAATCAATACCTCATTGTTCGCACGGGAGAAATTATTCACTTTTTTTCAAAGGCAAAGGCATCCTTTAAAACAAAAATATAAATATAACGATTAACATACTAAACATTTGCTTCTTGTGAAACAAAACGAAAACTACTGTTCTAATTTGTGATCATTTGAAAATACACTCTGGATTTAGTGTCGATGTAACGTGCACGGTCATGGTGAGAAATGAAATATGAAATATAAATCTCGCATTACGAATACATGATTGTGTGCCATCTCCGGCCTAATCGTCCTCTTCAAATATTTGCTTTTCTCGGTAATGAAGGGAGTTGACCTACTTTGTATCCTTACTCTAATGACTTCACACTCACTAGATGAGGTTGAAAAATGTTTCATTTTCTGTTCATCCTATAATTTGGTTGGTCAAATGAAAGGATCATCTTTAAATTTCATTCCATCCCTTATCATGCTTATCATTTACCAAAGCGTACTGCAGACTAGAATATTAAAAATAATTTAGATAAAACACAATTCTTACAAAATAATCATCAGCACTTCATTTCCAGGGCGATTTTTTTCCCAGCACAATCATGATTGTCTTCAGTTACAGCTATGACATAATACGGACAAAGATGAATGATTTGGGTTAGATGAAAGAGTCCACACAAGTATCTCTTGGGAATGGTAGTTTCTTTTTAAAAACAATTCAAAGGCACCGTTCCCAGCTTTTTTAAGGGTCATAACGATTCATAGATGACATACACATGATTTCCCGGGAGTGATTTAAGCCTAGGTAACGACCGAACAGGACCATTTCTAACTTCTAGAGTCAAAGCACGTGGTTCGAGAAGGCCAAAAATACATTTGGAAATCGTTGAGTTGGAAAAGGAAAATTCGCTGCTGGGTATGAATTTATATATTTATGAGCCATACCAACGATGATATTAATCTTAAATAACGATTATTGTGTCCTAAATTTTGTACTTAACTAAATATTACTCGGGTTAATGAATACTACCAGTTCATTGTTTTTAAACCAGGTTTAACTTTACCCCTTTAACCTCTTCTACCACTCTCTCTCTCTCTCTCTCTCTCTCTCTCTCTCTCTCTCTCTTTGTCTATATATATATATATATATATATATATATATATATATATATATATATATATATATATATATATATATATATATATGTCTTTCTCTCTCTCATTCCGTCTCCTCCCCCGATTTTCTTCGTTTAAAAGTCAGTATTGCAATTTGTGCTTCCTGCTACTGATTTGCACAATTAATTATCATTTCCCTTTTCTTTTCCATCTCCGTTCACCGCCGCCCCGTTCTTATTAAAATATGTTTACCTCCTCACTCGAGCTTGTTTCTTTTATCTCCACCCAATCCAGGTGATATCGGGGGGTCTTTGGGTCTCTGGCTTGGTGGCAGTATCTTGACAATCTTCGAGTTCGTCGATCTCTTTGGTCATTCAATCTACGTCTACTCAAGAAAAGCGCGCTAAAAATCTGGACCACTTTAATCCTAATCCTATACGTCACAAAGCTTTGCCATGACTACGAGCTTGGAGATGCTCCGACGACTGTTCCGGCGACAATTATTGCTCCGGACTTTATTTCACCAAAATTATGTAGGGTTGGGTTTAGGGTCAGGGTTGATTAGGGTTGCGTATTGGTTGTAGGATAGGTTTTGGGCTGGGGTGAGAGTTAGGTATTGCGTTGGGTCCAGGTTGAAGCTATGAATTTGGGATAAAGAACTCGGATCGAGCAATGGTCGTCGGACCGTGTGTCGATACAGCCACGTTAAAGTTATGGTTTACTGTAACCGGCGTATTATCTCAATCTTTGAACGATGAAATTCATTATTGTTTGCCATTGTGCCCCTTAATGCAGGCGCCGCGGAAGTGGGGGTGTTCCTAGTTATGTAGGCAAAATGGCTGTAGAAAACTACTTGAGTCTATATGGGCACTATCCATTATTTTGTTTTAAAAATAATGAGATTGCCCCGAGCTCCCTAAGCCCCTTCTTCTACAGGCCCGAAACTAGCTCAGGTGTTTTTGTAATCCTTACCCGTCTTTTTTAATGTTTATATGTTTATATGTGATTTACCACGTACCTGCTATTAATGTTCCTTAATTGTTTCGGTGCAAAATTGTATGTAATGTCGCCTCAATAGTCGGGTAGTCGTTGCAAACCCCATTTAAACTAACTTCGAGATAGAGGACATTTTTTCCCACTTGTAGCTAATTATAGTGGCATTTTTTCCGATTCGGGTTTGGGGGATTTTCCACAAGACCGGTCATTATGTTGGTTTGAGGGCCGTTTAACTTGTGATCAAAGAGCCGGGTAATAAGATAAAAAGAAAGCAAGCCTAACGGATAGAAATATTAGAGAAGAATTTAATAGCTAATTTTAATTTTATTTTATTTTATCTCGGCTGGTAAACTTGTCTTCAATAACTGAAATGAGTGTGTGTGAGTAGAGTCTTTCACTGTCTTGCCGTGTATGCTATAATCTCGATGTTGTATTTTGGTACACAAGTTTTTTTCCATTTTTTTCTTCCTGATTAGTGTGCATCAGTTATTGAAAAAAGTAAAAGCTAAAATCAAACGTTGCTCTGGCCCGTGCCTTTTAGAGTACCCATATCTCGATTAGAGGTACGGTTATTGCATTGTGTCGATACCCCGCCCTCTGTCGCTCACTGTCAGTATAATATCTATCTACGGTTATTTAGTTTGCTAATTGACCAGCAATCAGCGATAATCCAAATACCGGGTTCTCCTAAATTGGAAGGATAGGCTTGTACGTAGAAAAAGGTCAATGTGAAAAACAGAGACATTTAAATCTCGTTTACTGACCATCAATAGTGATTATAAATAATGTAACATTTTGTACTTTGTATACCATATATCAGATCACATATTTGAGTCTGTTTCAATTGTTTCAGGCATTTTAGTACGAGTGTGGGACAATTTCTTTCATTCAGTTTACGTACAGGGTGTACTTGAGATATTTTTTAAAAATCAAAATAAGTGACGATGTATTCGTATAGGTACTTAGTGTGTAAATATAATAGATGTACGGTGGAGAGCAATAACGCGATGGACAATCATCAAAAGTAATAAAGAATATTCATTATGTCATAAGAATATTATGTATCTTGTTTTTGCTTTATTTTTCATGTCACAATGTTATGATTATTCGGGGTGTCGGTAGAACATTTAAGGAGGGGAAGGGGCGCTTTTCGATAGTGACGACAGAAAATGACTGTACTTATAACCATAATGACCCCCTCCCCTCCTCCCTTAAAGCAGCACTAGGCCTAAGATTGAAAATACTACTACCATGACACGATCCATACAATTGAAATATAAGATTTTATTCCACTAAATTTTCCAGATAATATTATAATGTAATAACGTCCCTAACAGTACTTTTTACTTCATCTAGATGCAGGTTTTTTAATTTTTTTTTATTGTGAGCAAATTGAAAATACTATACATTTATCTAAACATTAGGTACATACTAACGAATGGAATTTCAAACTTTTTAAATATACAAATTATATTTCTAAATTGAACTCAACCTGCGGGCTTTAATACATAACACGAGTACTGAATTCCGAAAATAAAGGTGTACATAATAATCTGAAGTAACTAATAGCCTAGAAGATAGTGCATACTCCCCATGACAAAGTCTTTACAGTTATTACACGTTCTCTCATGATATGTATCATAACTTAAAGTCCCTCTAAAGTGTTGGGAGCCTTAACTTCGCCAAACATTTGATGGCAAAAGTTCACTTAATTGTATCATAATGTGAAAGAGAATGTCATTTAAGACACACTTCTGCAAAGAACCCCCCCCCCCTACAACAACAACAAAACAAAAAAAATAAATAAATAAATATAAAACAAATTGAGGTTTCTGTTGTACGCATAAAACCTAAATGTTGTATTCTTTCATCAATATTCGACTTCAAACACACTTGTTTTGAAAATCCTTGCAGAAATGTGTCTTAAATGACATCCTCTTTCACATTATGATACAATTTAAGTAAAAATTTGCATCAAATTTGTAGGGGCTCCCAACACTTTAGAGGGGCTTTAACACTTCAACATAAGAGCATGTCCCCTATTGGATAGAGATAAACCACTTGTGGAGAGAACACGGCATCACTATACATGAACAGATCATTAACCCGTTGGCTACTGAATTGTTTAATCCCCATAGGCTTAATACAGGAGCCACACGGTTCCAGGAGTCAAGGGGGTAAACACACAATAATTCCCTGAAAAACAGTCACCCCACCCCACACACACGCACACACACAGTGAGGCAAGACCAAGGCATTCCCGTAAACCGTACTAATATACAAGATGTATACATCTGCATCTTCAAGATAAGGAATATACATTGTAAATCTTATATTCCTTTGGCATCAATCAATTTCAAACTGATGAGAGTATAACATAACTATATATCACGCATACAAAGGAAGAAGATCGGAACGCGTTTCGGTGTATGCACTCCATCCTTGGCCTAAACAAGTAACCCCCCCCCCCTGTTCTCTCTCTCTCTCTCTCTCTCCCTTTTTCTCTTTCCATCCTCTTTTTACTCGTTTCATTGAATATTTATTAAAAAATCTGGATAAACCATAACGGACAATTATTTAAAGGGTGTGTCAAGAGTACTATATAAATGTGTAATCATGATGTAATTTAGGCTAACGTTATCATGAACTTCCAAATTGTTGCGTACTTATATGTTACGTGTTTTCTATGGTCATTTATCAATCAGCCAATGAAGAGATTACAGTGCAATACAGTGACATAAATCGATTCTAGTCTACTATGGTTAGATACTAACATCGTGAACACAAAGATTAAGGCACGTGCTACTGCGATTAAATTCATGACAAAATAGAATTTTGACATATCTCATGGACGATTCTACGAATTTGGTTTTCTTGGCACCTCTTCTCAAATCTTTATAATTTTTTTGTATCTCGTTTAAGTTTTTCAACTCTTTTTTGAATGAACGAAGTATAATAACATAAACTAAAATCACTTGCATATATATATTTTCATGTTAAAAATATATGTTTATCTATAAAATTGTTTTACTATAACATCTAAATTATCACGGTGATACCAATAATTATTTCAATAGAATGACGCGGGTGCTTTTGTGATCTCTCATCTAAACAAGATGACGACATTCCGTTTGGTGTCTCTTTAGGACAAAAGTGGACAAAATGTGACATATAAATGCCTTTCCTCTCGCTAGAGAAAATGAATTTAATTGATTTTGTTCTCACCGAGGACAATCATTTTTGGGCATGACCAAGGTATGACATGCAAGGGAATGTGGCGCCCGAGCCTGTAGAGTAGTAACACCTCGGCAACGAATTTAAAGAACTAATTCCAAAATATATTATCAAAAATCAAGGTATCATACACATTCTCAAGTATAAGAGTACTAACGCACTACATATTTTGACATTCTACCGGATGTACTTGGGCCTGGGATATCATAATCTTCTTCCGGGGTCATCAGTGGATTATCAATACCCATCATCGAGTTTCCAATATCAGAACTTCCCTTTGTCAGTGTGTTGGAATCGCCCGATGAGTCGGTCATCTCCGAGCTCGCGTCGCAACTCTGTCGAGACCGGAGCGTTCCACTTTGCATGATAGGGGTGGGCAGCGGTGGTGGCGGTGGAGGAGGGGGAGCGGGTGGTGGCGGTGGAGAGAAAACTGGTGGGTTGTTGAGCGTCGACGAAGAGGTGGATGGTGGTCGGAAGGTATCAGACGATGTCGATGGTTGACTTGAATGGTGCGACTCGATGGCGGTCAAAAGATCTGGCGATACGGCAGGAGCGCCTATAAGAAAGCAAGTCATGTCCATATACTTGATGAATTTTCAATAAAATTCTTGTCTTTGCTTCTCCTCTCTTTTAATTTCTATCAACTTTTAATTGCATATTTTTTATTAACATATACTTAAGGTATTCCAATGATTAATTTATAATTCAGTTTGATGCTGTTCCCACCTCCCCCCCCCCCCCCCCCCCCACCTTTACAAGCATTGGATAATATTTCTCACCATCTATCAGCGGGAGGTTCCATTCAGGGAGCCCGCTACGTCCAAAGTCCTGTTGATTCTGCATGTCAGAGGTCAAAGGATCATGAACTTCAGGGTCAATGACATCATGATAGTGTTCCTTGATGTCCTGGGAGTCGGCATACATGAATGATGTCGGACTGCCTGGTGGGTTTCCAATGTCCTGCAAATAAACACAACCGTTAATACAGTCAAACCTGTCTAAAGCGACCGCCCAAGGGAAACATAAAAAGTGGTCTTTGAAGACAGGTTCCTTTAGTACATGTTTCAATGAGAAACCATTTTCAAGGGCAAAAATAAAAAATGTGGTTGTTGTAGACAGGTAATCACTAAAGCAGGTTTGATTGTATGAATCTCTGAATGAATCTCTGTGAAATTCATCTGTCATTTTGACTAAAATTCACTTGTCACAATCATCAGAGGCTTCTGTTTGCTACTTTTTAAATAAATATTTTCTCTTAGTTTTTCATTGAGGTATAATCTTAGACTTTGTGCCTGATTTATATAAATATGGCCATCTAATATATCTGGCTTATTAATCAGAAAACCTTTATTCCAATTACCTCCTGATTATCGTAACGGAAGAACCTGCCATCAGCTCCGATGGAGCTGTAGATACTTCGAGGTCTTGGAATACAGGTATGTGCCATGTTGAAGTCTGTAAGCTTGATGCATGGCTCGTCCTGAAGGTCGAACGACTGCGTACTCTTACTGCATGTCTTCCTCATGACGTGGTGTACGACGAGGACGATGGCTAGCAAGACGACGACACCGACCACGACTCCGATGAGGATGTAGATCAGCCTCTGCTGCTGTTCGAAAGTTAGCCCGCCCCCATCGCCATCGGATACCGGTGGGGTATCTGAAGGGTGCGGCCCGATCCCGCCTGAGGGTGTGGTTGGTGCGTAAGGGCCATTGTGAAATACGATTGTCTCTGCTATCAGGTTTTGATTATCGAAGGGCACACTGATGTTACCCGTATCCATATAGCCGTAGAGATCTTCGGCAAAGTCGAATTCAATGGTGTCCTTCAGCGTGAAGTCAACGACAACAGATCCGCAATTCACATTGTTGACGGAGATCCTTAAACGTTCCAGTGACATAAGAGAAGAGATTGATTCGATGAAATTGGTTATAAAGGCATCCTCCTTAGCGAGGACTTGCTGACAGTCTCCTCCAAAAATCATGGTACATCGTACCGGGTAGTATGCAACAGGCACGATTTTGTCTTCATCGGTGGTCGCGTTTGTCGGTGTGGTTTCTGTGAACGGACTTGGCGACGCTGTAGTGACAGAACTGGTAAAGAAGGCAGGCGTGGATGGCATTGCTGAAAGGAAGTCACTCCTGGATGCATTCAAAAGAATGCTTGAAGATGATGCAATTGTAGACGTAGAAAGTGGGGTTTGGTAATCCGAAGGGGTCGCAGTTATACGCGTTCCGGAAATGAAAAACATGTGAGTCGAATTCATTGTTGGTTGAAGAGATGGTGCTGACATGTTGCCATCAACCGAAGCTGTCATCAGAACCGTGTACGAGTCAACAACGGATGTCACGTTCGAATAAAAGAAAGAAGAAGTGATGTCAGGTGCGGGGAGCATTGACTGGGTAGCCGACATCGGCGTTGATCCATTAATGGCCTGGCTCGTCCTTGACATCGTTGACATGCTCGTCCTTGACATCGTTGACATGCTGGCAAAGACACTCCTGCTGTTACCGACCATTGCCGTCGTGACCAAGTCAGATTCATACGATGAATATGATGTAGAGGGCTGCGGATACGGAGGTGTGGTTCTTTCTGCGGCCTCTGACATAGCACCAGAAGATGAAGAAAGGGGCGGAGGGGATGGAATAGCGGGTGGTGGAGGTGTCGGGAATGGAGGGAGACTCGCATTGCCATGGTAACTGGTAGATGATGATGGTGGTAGTGATGGTGGTGGTGGTGATGGTGATGATTGCCAAGCAGAGGTGATACCAATGTCTTGGTCTACCGTTGATACCCATATCTCTTCTGTCTCCACGATGTACATGTCACTCATCTCAAAGCTCGTATAGGAGTCTGGGTTTTCTGAAATGGTAAAGAAATGTAAAGGATACTACTGCTAACTGAAAAAAGGTCAATACAAGGAAAAGTCATTAAAACAAATTGTGTCATAACATCACAGGAATGTAGTATTTAATACTAGTCTTAGTTTGAATTCCTATCATTAATAGAAGTGAACTACGATGATTACTACTACTATCACTACTACTACTACTTCTACTACTACTACTAATAATACTAATAATATTAATACTACTAATAATACTTCTACTACTACTACTACTACTACTACTACTACTACTACTATTATCATACTACTACGATAAAGATTGCGCATGATATCCTTCATGATTTGATTTTATTTTCAATCATGTGTCAATTAAAATCTTTTTAGTTGATTAATTTATCATTAAAGTAGTAAATCAGAAATCCTGTTTCTCAATTTCCATATGCAAGAAAGAGACTTGACTGATGGTAAGAATGTTCTTCAAAGACAAAGATATTGTTTTGATAAATGCTAAATCAGTCTTTTTTTGGAGATATAGATTCGTTGGTTAATGCATGTGATTACCTGCCAAGTCCGGGGCAAGGGCAAAAGTGCTCCGCTTTTTATTAATTTTTTTGTTAACCTCGCTCATCAGCTTTGTCAAGACAGTGTTATTCTGACTATTGCGGTAGATGGCGCTATACATCCAGCACTCGTCTCGCCAGATTGATGTTAGGCGTTTAAAAAAAATGTTGTATTGCCCTTAAGTTTGCGACCGACCCAAAAATCTTGAAATCTGCGGTCGGCTTAAAAAAAAAAAAAAAAAAAAATATGTATTAGAGCAAAACTGGAAACATATCAGCCCAAAGAGGGAGGGGGAAAAGTTAAAAGAAAAAAGATTTCCGACTCACCGCCCCATGTTTTGGCAACTAAAGGGCAATACAGCATTCTTTTTTTAGGCCTTATAATAATAAAATAATAATATTTAGCTTTTATATAGCGCTTAATACGAATGTCTCTAAGCGCTTTACAAATATACTATTCAGTGCTTGCCCGCACATACTGTGTGCACAATCTCCACTCCCTGGGGAGCATTCCAGCCAGGCGTTACTTGACGCTCAAAAACTGTTTGACCAACAATGACTGTTATGGTTGTGAGTAGATAGTATTACCCTAGGGCACCAAATGAAACCAATACCAGACTGACAACAAACTACACCAAATTAAAATACCCGGAATACTGGTGTCCTATAGTCGCGTGGTTTAAGCACTTGACTTCAAACGTCGTGGTACATAAATTATAAATACAGATTTATAATGATGTTAAACGGAGTCGATTTCTCGGTGTGACTGAAATATAGGTGTTTCCTAAACGAAATTACCACAGGGTAACCCCAGCCACACAGTCTAACCGACTCCAAACCGACCAATAACCGAGGTATCGTGGTCGAGTGGATACGTCACCGGACTGTGGATGACAAGTTTCGCGGTTCGAGTCCCACCGCGGCACTTATGTCTTTGGGAAAACATCAATCTAAGTTCGTCACACTCGACCCAGGGGAGGGTACCTGGCAGGATTAATTCCTTCAAATGCTAGAGCGCCATAATGGCAGCCATTCTAAAGCCGGGGTAATAACAAATATTGTGGAGCGCCATGAGTTGTAAGTCTGACAGACATGAGCGCTAAACAAGAACCCACTATTAATATTATTATTAAGCTTGGCCAGGCACTATTTTTTTCCTCCGGAGATTGGTCTGTTGTCGGTCTGATATCGGCCTCAACGATACGACTGTGGTATTACTGGAGCAGTTGTTACTTAACACAACGTCAATTATAGTTTTCACTATAACAACATTTCATGCATATCTACCTCTATATAACGACGACGTCATTGCAGGAGACAGTGAATCCGTTGACGACGATGCGATGACTGTCAACGACGTCGGATTTGATGACGGGCGTATCGACGTCGACCAACTCGTCGGCGACTGCATCGATGATTGCGAATGACTTGAGAATGTTAATGCCGACATCATGGGGGAAATCATCGATGTCGGTGATGTTAAATTTATCATGGTAGAGAGAAGAGGCGATGATGATGGTGGTGAGGATGATGATAGCAATGGCGTCGATGAGGACGATGTTGAATGCAGGAATGATGTGGAAGGTGATGACAATGATGCAGCATTCTGATTGGTCGTATTTGGTTGAGATGTTGAAGATGCTAGAAAGTAAAATTGAGAAATACCATCATGACATTTTATGGACTCTCAACAATTATTTTCTTCAAAAGTAAATACCACCTCCATGTTGTACCGTATGCGTTTTAATCTTCGCTGCAAGTTAAGGCTACCTTAAAGCCCGTGTGTATTAGTTTGGCCAGGGGGATATACCACCTTGCAAGGTCACTGGCAGGTGGTTATCTCATCGCCTCAGCTCTCAAATAACATATGAAAAAGGGGATCATGGGGGACCAACGGGCACCGATTATGCATTGTTTGATATATAGAGGGCGTAAGTAGCTATAAGACGTGCAGTGGGGCTTTGTATTTGTGCCTTTATGGTCATCCCTTTTGTTCAGCTCTAGTTGCTAGCCTTTAAGTTTTCCTCGTGTTCTTCTCATATTTACTCTTTCTCACTTTCCATGGACAGGAGCTGAGAAAAGTGTATGAGAGCGGTCTCTCTTTTTTTTAGAGACTATTTATAGGAACACATAGAGTCGTGCAGATATAGTCAACAACTGAACTATACAATCTCATTGTAAATTTGATATTTTTATTGTGTTTTTCGTAACTCAAGAATGTAAGGTTGTCTGGCTGAATTAGGGCCTTTGTTGACTACAGAGAGAGAGAGGGTGAGAAAGAGATATATATATATATATATAGAGAGAGAGAGAGAGAGAGAGAGAGAGAGAGAGAGAGAGGGAGGGGGGGAGAGAGAGAAATAGAGAGCGGGAGGGGGAGGGGGAGAGGTCGTCATTTACAGAACTGAATACAGATAATAGCACAGAAAGAGACAAAGAAATTGGAAAAACGATCTCAATACTTCATTTATCGCGTTGATAAAGCGCCCTTTCATGACAATATGGAGGGTAGACCTCAAAGATGAGGATACGCAAGAAAGAGAAAGGGAGAGTGAAGGAGAGATAAGAGCGGAGACAAGCATAATTTGACGCCCGAAAGTGAGCACGAACTGAACAATAACATATACGTGTGAGCAAGGAGCTTTAAGACATCTCATTGGTGTGAGCAATCTTGATACATGTACAGCGAAGTTTACCTGATGCACGATGAATGCAGACGAGGAGGGATATTAGAGAAAATACAGTTGTCATGGTGATCCAGGAATGGAGGTAAAATGCTTGCCTAGCAACGTATGGCTGTTGTGGAGACTTGATTATACTTCAGAACCTACCGAGAGAAAAGGACAACATTGCTATTTTTAAAAAAAAATGAATTAATAAATACACAAACAAACAAATTGAAGAACGAATGAATATATAAATAAATAAATAAATAAATAAAATGATTAGTTGATTGATTATTAAAATAAAAAGGTTAAATTAAAATGAGTTGCCAACCTTACTTTGTGGTGATTGAAGTAAACAACAAATGCAGTCAGTATCAGGCCTTTTTTTGGGGGGGGGGGGATTTCTACAGATATTTGTGATATAGGCTGCATTGCCCTTTGAAGATTAACAGAAACAGAAGAAGAAGAAGAAGAAGAAGAAGAAGAAGAAGAAAAGGAGAGAGAAAGGGAAACTTGGAGGTATGCAGGGACTGACAGAAACATCAACAGCAGAGGACGTGTGTAAAAGCGGCAGAAATAGAGAGAGGCAGAAAGAGATATAAAGAGAGTCACGGAGAGAACGGCCGCTGACCAAATACATAACTTATTTATTTCCATGAAAATCAATAATAATTCGAGTACTATGATTTGATTACACGGACTACATCTCTTGAGTAGAGATGCGACGAACCTCGAGAGCAGAGAGTCCTCTTAGCACAATATTTCACTAAAAACGATCACAAAGACTTTCGAAAAAAATCAACCCAATGTAATTCCAATAGCCCTCTCCATCAGCTATCAAAATAATGTGCGCGTATTACAATGTCGTTTTACGAAATCCGACGTATACTTAGGCCTAAATGATAGGAATGAGAGCGTGTTAGCATCATTGAAGACCGTTGTTTCTTATTCGATCGATGCAAACCCTTCATCATGTATGGAATAGACGTTGTAATCAGTATACTAAGAAGGGCCTACTTTGATTTTTTTTTCAATCAATAAGAAGCAGAGAATAAGGGAAAAACTAGAAAAGAAACAACATCAAATTGGACATACAGAATAATAACTACCATGATCGTTGAAGCCATTCAACATTTTATCTATAAAAACTAATCAACAACAAAAACAACAGCAAATACAAAAAATATGTCGTAAAGGGAAGAGCCCATCATATACTTTACTGTTCAAAGTGTATTCGAAACTAGAAAAAAAAGGAGCGCTTAAAAAATTCCTCCAGATATGTAGAAAATGAAAAACATTTCGATGCAGGCATGCATGTGTCAAAATATGACGTGCGCCCAAAATTTCCTTCTATTTCTTCCAGCCGCCGTC